TGTTTGAATCTCAGGTATTTGTCACCGTGTTCTTCAAAATAGTTGTCAAAGCAAACAAAGGCAGCAAAAAAAAAAAAAAACCTACATAAAGTTCTATCATATTACATTTATTCATGTAATCTAATAAATCTTATACTGTTAATCAGGATATCTGAGGAAAAGAAAGATTAAATTCCTGAACCAAAGAGGTTACAATATTAAATCTGAGAGCCAGGATTTGTATATTCATTCAATAAGAATGCTCTACTATTCTTTGTATTTATTCATGTTTAAATCTGCAGGGGTTTTATTGTAGGAAGTCCATAAATTAAAATTTTAAAAGAATCCAGATTTATATAGTTTTAGCTATGAAAGTTATCATGAATATCATAATTAGAGTTTCACATTTGAATATGTGAATTAGGAAAACAATAATTAAATTACCATGTAAGATGGATAATGCCATGGGTAAAACAAGTAAGTTTCTCTGGTGATTTCAAATGCGCTAAACTGTTATGCAAACAAACCTACTTTGGATAGTCCTAGAATTAAGAAGTAACATTTGCTATAATACTGTGATACCGAAACTTTGGCAAATTACTTGACACACAGAAATTTTTTAATTATAGCAAAGCAGATGAAATTATAAAATTCTCATGAATAAAAATGCAGACATACAAATCTATTAGATTTTACAAAACATCAACACTTAAAAGTGCCTTACTATTTAATTCACTTTTACTGCTTGTTCAAGCTTGTTCTTTGCATATACACATGTATATATACTTGTTTTTCAAGAATAATGTTCTGGTCTAGAAAGATACCAAAACAACCAAAATTCAGAGAAATGCACAAGCTGAAGATGAATAAACACAAAAGTTCTCTTTCGAAAACCTAATGAACTGGGAATGAACTGTTAAAGCATCTGCAAAAGAAGACCAAGAACAGAGCACTTGTAATTTTTAATTTAAAATAAAGCAAAGAAAGATCCATGATAAACAATGGGGTCAAATAAATGTTAGATCATCACATAATATAACGATTATCCTCTCTTCCCACAGCATTTTTAGGCTTAATGAATATAAAATATTTTAAATAATTCTACATTTTATAAAACGGTGATTATTTTAAGCACGTACGATTCAAGTCTTAGATTTTCCCTAACATTACCTTATTTTAAAAATAACTAGAAGAATACTATTCTCTATGACAGTTGCAAATTCAAGACTTTGAAATTAGAAATTCAGAAATCTTAGCTCCATTTTGTCAGGCTTATTAGGTATTTGCATGTAAACCGAAAATGAAGAGCAGTCATTACCAAATTCTTAATTTTGGGGGTAGCTGTTTAAAACCAGAATACTTTGAACAAAATATTTACATAATAATGAGCATTTCAAAAAAAGAAAATCTCATTAAAAACTGTATTAAATATATGCTGAAGTTAAGAATAAAACATGCTGATAAGATTAGTCAACAAGCCCAGTGTACAGTGTTTAATAATTTTAAGAGACATAGGAGGAAACAATCCTTTCTCTTCACATTAACCAATTTCAAAGGCTAGGTTGTAACCACCCAAATCCTAGTCTCTATTAATAAACTACTATTGATTGTAATCAATAAGTTATTTAAATTTCTTAAATGCTCTCCATCTCAGCGATAATATATTTAAATGTAATATTAAATCATGTCAAGGAAACTGTTTTGAACTTCATAAAAACTGAAAAATTACTAAGCCTTGTTCAAGTATTTAAAGTTTATTTCAAAATGTATTAATTTATTAGAAATGGATAAACATTAATGTACTACTTAAAACTTCAGTGTTGCTTTTCAGACAGCAGCAGCAGTATAGTCATGGTTCCAAACTTTAAGAAGATCCATCCAGGTTGGATTATTTAAACTTGCAATAAATAGATGTATTTTCTTGGAAAAATATCTATTGTTACAGTAAAACTTGAGTTTCCTTTCTAACAAGATTGTATGATTACTCGTTTATATTGTTCTTTCCGCAGGAATTTACACACCCCCTGTTTGCATCCTGTTATTCACTTTGAGCTTCCCTTCGCTTCGCTATACTGTTTCCCTAATAGTGGGAGAGTGGATCTAACAGCACACAAAACTACTAATCATTGTTAGCACATTCCAAGCCTCTCCATCTGCATTTACCATTTATTCAGGTCATAAGAGTAACTCTTATAATTTCAATCTCTGTGTGCTCTGAAATGGTGCATTGCCTTTCTAGATCACCAGTAGTCTGGAGGAAATTTGGGGATTAAAAAAAAGAACAGATTATTTTAATTTTCCTTCTAACTCTATGTTTCTGTATCAAACAAACTAAGAATTGCTTAGGCTGAATGTACACTACTAAAACCCAAGCAAAGATATTTATAGACTTCTTTAAATTTTGTGTGTTTGTATTTGTCATCCTGAAGGCAAAGAAAAAAAATTAACTCGTTCAGGGCATAATCAAGGCTAGGCTAAATCACTGCCTCAGACTCTGTAACATCCGTGTTAAAATACGGATTCTTGGGTTTTACATAGAACTTACTTATACCAGCAGGTGCATGCATTATAATATGCATTTTAAAAAGCTTTCTAGTAATTCTTATGCACATTGCTGCTTGAAAAAGACCTAACATTAAAGATAAGATAGTTGATAAGGGAATCATGCAAATAGGTGGTAAGATCCCACTGTCGAATACACTGAGCCAGAATAAAAACAGACAAACTCATTAATGAAGAGCTGAGAAAACGGTTTTTAATAATTCTATGATGAATCCTGTGTTAAACTATGACGTTCTTTATCTTTACGTGAGGCACTGAGTAACAGGACACCTATCTAATCAAGTATATGTGTCTGTGTGTATATATACATGAACACACACACATAACGTACACATTAAATATATATTTGTTTATATATATGTGTGTATGCTTCATACATACATATGTATGTATCTGCCTAGGTGTACACACACACACACACACACACACACACACACACACACACAACTAAACAGAGGAAAAACCAACACTTTTTTTTTAACATATATAATTTGATTCCCCATTATAAAGAGCAGAAAACGGAAAGGTAAAATTACTCAAGTCAATAAACCTTTATCAGAGTCAAGGAATAATGCCTCCCGTGCTTCTCGACTCCAGACTCTCTAAGGATGGCAACCACGTCTTACACATCACAGAATCTGCCACCACATGGTCAAGCACTGAGCACAGCATGTGAGTAAATGCTAGGGATCAGGACAATATTCTGTGAAGCTGGGAGGAGGCCTGAAGTTACAATCTATGTAGCGGCTCCTAAACTTTAACATGCATCTAGCCCCACTACCAAGAATCCCACCACCAAGGATCCCACCACCAAGGGTCCCACCACCTTAGATAGCATAGGTCTAGGTTTGGGCCCAATAATTAGCATTTCTAGCAAGTTCCCAGGTGATGCTGATGCTGCCTGTCTGGGTACTACATTTTTAAGAACCACAGGTCTAGGAAAAAATCCTCAGTGCTTTGCTATGTAACAGTTCCCAGAAGAAAATAAGTAATTATTTGGTCAGAAAAAACAATATAAGGAATCTAGAAACGTGAATTCTAGTTTCAACTAAGTCGGCAAAATGACTACAGCTAATAAACACATACTCACAGACACATCACTGAATACTCCTTAACTCCTCTCCCAAGATAAAGGGCTTGGTATAGATGCAACTGAAAATTCAAATACTTTTTGTACAGGTCAGAGAAAATTTGTTTACTATGAAACTTGGAAATACATAACCTTTCCTGAAATCACTATCCTCAAATCTGTATACTGCCCAGAACACAACTGTTAAAATAAATAGCTTTTGTCCAAAAGAAAGAACACAGAGACAGGCAAGCAAGCAAGCAAATAAATAAAAAGATGCTGAGACTAAACAAATCGCATTATGTAAACATAAATCTAAAGGGAAATTAACTGTTGCAATATTCTAAACACAAATTACCAATTCGAGTATCTATAAACGTGTTGTCTAGGCACTTCCTAATGACCTAGAATGGCAGGATCAGCACCATCTTGGAGCTCGTTAAACATGCAAAATCTAGGGCCACATCTAAAGCTACTGAACAAGAATCTGCATCTTAACAAGATTCCTATGTGATTTGTAAACACATTAAAGTATGAGAAGCACTGACTGACACTGGCCACTGAGATTTTATCATTAACTTGCTACAATTAGTAAAATTATATGACATTTTTAAAAGACCATTTCCTTAAAAATTCGATTTCTGCCTTACCACAGGTAAAAATCAAAAAATGATTTTACATGAGACAACAAACTGAAACATTATTTGCAAACAAAAACTTCTATTGTGATTTAAAGGTAACAAGTATTATCCAGCCACCTAGCTCAAAACCTTAACTTTTACTGCTGAGGAAACTGAGGTATGAGGATGCTACCTGGTTTGGTTAAAGCCAAATAGTTTTCAGTGACACAATAGAGAATAAAATCCAATTCTATTGATGTTTGTAAGTAAATGTTCTTTCTAGTGAAAAAAAAAAAGTTTTAATTATATTTCTTGCTGTCAGTATACAAGTAATGTAAAAGATTAGAAACACGTAAGTTTGGAGGGATAAAATGACATGTCTATGAAAACACAGAAAATCCAGCAAGATAGTGTTTTATCCTTTCCTTTTTTTTTTTTTTTCTTAAAAAGAGACTTTTAAAACTTGAAGTAGAAGGGAAACTGGAATTGGACATAATCAATTTGAGCATAACTTCTGAATAGATGATTTTCAAAGAATGATACCATGCATCATTTCAGCGGCTGCATCTGTTTGATGAATAAAACTGGAAAATTGGTTTTAAGACTTATATATCTGGCTTTGCCACTGAAGTTTTGCTATACAACAATAAACAAAATGTTTTCAAATATGGCTAATTTTTATAGTTATTAACACAAACAGCCATATTTAATAGCTTTTTTTAAAAAAAAAAAATACGTGATTGCAGACAAATTAAACCCTTCTGTCTTACCATCAAAGAAGCTCTTGGCTCTCAGGTAACTGACACTGAGCCTAAGAACTGAAAGTTTGTCCAGCTTATTAATAACATCTTGTGGGAAAGGCAGCAGGCTAGCCAAACGGTCCAACTCCGTATTAAGTCGGTCTCTATGCCGCTTGGAAGGATTTGACTTGATTCCTTCAGCCGGGATTGGCTTTACTCTGAAAAACAAATAAAATACCATAAAAATCCTTTAAAAAGCAAAAATTTTTATTGCATTATAACATATCTTCAAATATTTCTCTAATACAACAAACTTGTAAAGTCTATTTCAAGTTTACATAAGTGTTTCTTAAATCTTCCTTTCACATCTTAATTAAGAAAAAGAAGGAAAGGGGATAAATTTTTCCTATTAGTTCATTAAAAAGCTTATGAACTCATTAGAGGAAAATGTTTACTTATAATTAATGCATTTGTAGTATAGTGATTCCCAATTAACAGATCTATTGGGAATTTTTTTTTTCCCCTCTCTAATGTATTAGCCATTGTTAGGTGGAAAAAAGAGAGAAATCTGTGATAAATTATATGAAAATCATACTTCCTTTTCTATCTTCCACAGGAGGCCTCTCAGCATCATTGATGCTGTCAAGAAAGACAATCCTAAATAAAGTATTTATCTTCATATCACCAGCTTCCTGTATTTATTTACTTTCATCTCATTAGAGATAATGTCCCAAAGCCCCTCTGCCACCTGCAGATGGTCCTCCAGCCATCTAATGTGGTCCTCAAATATTAAAAAAAGAATAAATTTGACTTTTGTTATATTTCTTGTTGACAAATATTAGAAGCTGTGATTACTGACAACTTTTGCTTTTACATGTAGGCAGTAATTCTACTTATTCATAGAATATTCAAATATTCATAGAATAAGTAGAGTATTCAAATATTCATAGAATAAGTAGGTTATTCAAATATTCATAAGTAGAATTATTGCCTACATGTAAAAGCAAAAGTTGTCAGTAATGACAACTTCTATTATTTGTCAACAAGTAATATAAATACATGTAAAAGCTTTCATAGTTTGTGTCTCAGAAAGTTCAATGAAACCCTAAACAATTCAGCATGATTTTCACCTGAGTAAAAAGATACTTACAGGTTAAAGAATATGATTTCAGAAGTGAAAAGCTGAACAACTTCACACAAAGCCCCTGGCCAGGATTTCATAGCAGACACTCATCACTTAAAGTGAATTTAAGGATCATAGATACTCATGCTGAATTGGAAAACCAAAGTAATTTATACCCTATACCGCTATACCTTCCTATTAGCCAGAAAAGTAATTATCCAGCATTTTCTTACAACAAAGACATTTTTGACACTTCTAATGGAATTATATCAGCTTTGGTAAAGTAGACATTGGTCTGGGCATACAGCTATTAATATGACCCAATCAAAACATTTCTAGATAATTTCTTTTCAATGATGTATGTGGACAAGTAATACTGGATGCAGAAAGATGATGAAAAGTAAGTATTTCTACAAAAAACAGGTAATACATTGGCAAAATGGTATGTGTGTGTGTGTGTGTGTTTGTATTAACAGATACCTTCTCCAAATTGTTTGTACAACTGTGAATATAACAGAAATTGGTGATGGTTCCCCTAGCTATTTTCCTCTAATTGTATTGCATTTATAAACAAACTTCAAGTCACACCTAATTATTATATTTCTCCACTTAACCAACAAATTTAAAACTTTACCTTTAATGCCTGTCTACTTCATTGTGTAATTCTCTACTGCTTAATTAATAACTTCTTAATAAGTATTTATTTCTACCCGACACATACTGGACAGCCCAGGAAAACACTTTTCACCTAAATGTTCAAAAAGTGTCATGAGAGCTAAGCAGAAGCAGCAACTACTTGAAAAAATATTTTACAGAAAAAGTAGTATCTGAGATGGATCTTGAGCGAGGGACAGTATTTCATGAGGAGGTTTAACTAAGGACTGGTGAACTGTGAGAATTCCACCATCTGAAGGAAGAAGCACAGGGTGAAAGAGAGAGAAGACAGATGGTTAAGGCCACGTTCTTTCAACAAATATTGAATACCTATCAAGTGCCCAGCACAGAATACTTACAGGTGAACAAAATATACTAAAGTTCCTGTTGTTATGGAGCTTGCATCCTAGGTGGAAGATGCAGAAATAAACAAATAAACATATAGCTTTCAGGACTGGTGAGTGCTAAGAAGAAAAAGCAAGGTAAGAAACTAAGGGGTGACGGAGATGATGCTGGTTTGGATAGCCTGGGAAGGTCTCTCTGATGTGATGTTTCAGCACAGACATAAGTAAAATGAAGTGAGCCATGTGGGTGTCTGATGAAAAAATGTTCAAGATAGAGGAGATAGCAAAGTGATGGTAGAAAATCAGACTTGGGCATCTGGGAGTCATCTTAAGTGTTGAACTGGGATTTACAAGATCAGCCTTGTGTTTTACCAACCTGACTCTAGTGATAGAGAATACAGAAAGCAGGGCAGGGTTTGCTGAAGTTAGGATTCTGGGCCACCAGGAACTTCTTTCTAAAACATAAATCTCACTAAGTCATTCCTCTGATGAAAATCCTTCGGTAGCTCTGCACTGTGTTCCTTAGTGTCGCACACAAAATCCTTCATGATCTTTAGCTTCTATCTACCCCTCTGGCTTCATTTCTTCTAGCCAAAGCCGTTTTTGTCTATTCTACCCCAGAGCTAAGAAATCAGCTACAGTTACAAAATGTGCTTTGGTGCTTTCATACAACGGCCTTGTTATGTCCCACCCGCTTCAAGTCCCGCTCGAGTAGATCCCTTTCGTGAAATCCTTCCTGACTTGCCTCACAATGGATTAGCTACTATGCCCCATTCGGCTTCTTATACAAATGTCTTATACAACCATTCCATTAAGTAATATTCCATACAAACAACTTCAAATAAATAGAAAATGTGTATACAGCCCAGTCCTGCACTCTTGGTAGCTTTCCAGTAATGATTATGAAACACTGGAGGGAAGACAGTAACACAAACACTGAAGCAAGGAAAGCTGCTATCACATGGGGAGAAATAATAATAACGTGAACGTATCCCTTCATGTGCTACTGCTCCCCCTTTTGTGCTGGCTCTTTGCAATATTCAGCCTCACACTAGACTTTGACACTTGTTTTTAATCATGTAAAACTGTCTATATTTCTACTGTATTACTGTGTATCTTACAAAATAATATGAGAGCAAATTCCTATTTTCAAGTAACCTAATTGCTTACATCTGTTTGCCTGCCACCCTTATTTCAATGAAAACGTAATCATTATCGTATCCTTAAAGCCCAGCATACTACTTGACACAGAATGGACTCTCAATCAATGTTTGCTGACCAAAAGTGCCAAGAAAACAAATGATCACAACCTGACCAAAGGCAGTAATAGTGAGATAAAGCAAGGACTGGCTTGAAGAGAGATTTAAGCCAGACCCAAATGTTCACTTAACTAAACTAATGTGGCACAGAAAGCAAGGAAGAGGAAAACATTGAGTGAGGAGAGGTTGCAAATGGTTCTGCAATTTGTAGCTTGGAAAAAAAATTTCCAATGAGAGTTACACCAAACAAGAAGAAAAGTTGCTTGAGGACAGAACTCAGTAATACTAACATTTAGGTATAGGGCTGTGGAAGAGGCACAGACACAGAGGACAAATGATAAAACAGACAGAAAAAAAACAGGGTAGAATATTTTGGAGGTCACAGAAGACAGTCAAATACACAGAGAAATTAAGGCCAGGGCTGAGAAGTACCCACTGGACTCAACAATTCGGAAGTTTATAAAATGTCAGATTGTTGAAGCTAACAAAGGTAATGCATTTGACCCACTTTTTCACTGATTTTGTGAGAAATGTACAAAATTATTTTGTGAAAATATTTAATATCTATCCATACATCTTGAATATACACAGAACGATTACAAATAGAGGGTAATCTTACATTAACTACACTTGACTTGGATTATGCTGTTTTTACTTTTATATTGTCTTCGAATTTCTACCAAAGAACACTGCTAACCGTTATTTAAGAAAAAGGCTATTTGAAATATAAATAAACATCCCTGTAAGATTGGATTTGGGTGCTCCAGAGTTCAAATATCTCCTGAAATAGAACATATGATGTTGGTCAGGCAAAGGAGCAACACCTTATTTTTTGAAACCTTCACTTCAAAAATCTTGTCCCAATCTGTGATCAAAATTATTACGAAACCAAGACTCTAGCTGACTGCATGCCATCCTTCTGTTTAGAAGCCCTGCAAGCTTTAGCTGCTGGTGGTACAGGCCCAAGAGTACACTCAACGTCAGCTTTAATCTTATCTTGAAAGCTCTTTTAATATCTCCATCAAAAATGTCTATAAGGTTCATCATTTGTAGCCAGTGTTTGAAACAAAGCTGAAAAAACTGACAACCTAGTTTAATCATAAATATAACTGTGTTTTATATAACATTTATCATAAAACCTCAAAATGACATGCAAAGATATGGTTTCAGTAATCCCATGAGATTAAAGTGACATTTTGTAACAAGAGATTACCTCTCACAGTACTGAGTTTGCTCTATCGGATTTTTTCTCGGGGTGATTTAATCTATTCTTACTGCTTCAGTCTACTTACCCATAACTTGTTTATCCTTATTTCCAGTCCTGTACTTAAGTGCCCTCTCATTCACATTCCCCAGAAGTTGGGCACTCCCTTCTCAGCACTGACTATGGTGCTATTCTCCATCCAACAGCCAGGGAATTTGAAGTATTCCTCAATAAAATCTCCCTAACATACTACGATACCTACACCCAAAAAAGCCCAACTCTCAACCCCATTCATTCTTCATTTCCTGCCCCACAGCTTCAATGCATACATATTTATCTCTGAATATAAATTTCAAATATTTACAATCATAAACTATGTGCTTTGTAACATCACAGAGGTGACACATAGCACAAATAGATCCCAACTTCATTGTCAGGCTGAATATGGCTAGATATTTTATTTCCCTATATGACTCAAAAACATCTAAAAAACTTCTGAGAATTTTGGCTGGAAGCCACATGTAATGAGTCAGAAGTCTTCTGCCACCCTCCTGCTCCTTCCCTATAACTGTGATGAATTCTTCCCTTTCCCTTTTGTTTGCTATACCTAAGGAGAGATGACAAGATGTAAACA